TTTTTACATTTTTAAAAAAGATAATGGATGAACGGTGGCTCTCCCCATCTCCCACCCTGCTTTTTTCCTTTTTTCTAGTTTAAAGAAATAGTTTATTTATTTATTTTTTTTAAAGGATACTGTTAATGCCAGTCTCCACATTTGTCTCCTAGGCTGTCAGTCAGATCATGGTCATTTTTCCTTTCCCTCAGTGCTTGAGATACGATTTGTGGAACAGTAATTCTTCCATCAAGAAAGTTAGTAAGTGTTATATTAAAAAAGATAGTGCTTCATTTAGCCAAATAATTTTGGAAAACATCAGGTTGAATGATGAGAAACAAGGTTTTTCACCATAGAATTTCTCAGGTATCTTAATATGCAAGTAGGAGTTTTGATGCTCTGTGATTATGTACATTAAACAGAATTTTTCTTCTACTCTTCTCCTCTCTGGGGGATGTGGGTATGTATGTGGAGCATCACAGGGGACCAGTAGAACATCCTTCGGCAAGTGCACGTCTGCCTCTTGATAGCCTTGGCTTCTGCCTTCTCTTGCCTTCTGTATTTGCACCACTCTGTTCTATGTCTGTGTGTGTGTGTCTGCATAAGTATGTGTATATATCAATCTTATATTTAAACTCTTCGAGGGAAGATGTGATTATATCTGGAAATCTTTATTCCCAGAAGAAGACCTGCACTTTGGTAGAACTCTTGTGTCAGGATGTCTCATAGGCCATTGGTCAGTGTCCTTTGGACCAGTTGCAACAGGTACCTAGTTAAATCTGGAAAGATAGATTGATAGGACTTATTTTGGGGGGAGGGGTTCCTTTTTATTTTCTGTCTCTGCCATTTGAATGTAACATTCCTGAGACCATGTGTGTCTTATTTATTATTGTTTCCCCAATGTCTTAACATATAGGACCTTTTACATATTAGATACTGGATGAATATATGTTAATCGTTTTAACCTGGCAAGCTCTTGCAGTCATCTGAGAGTGGGGACAATATAACCAGCAGTTGTATTGCATAGCTTGTTCATTATGGATGGGTTACTTTTTAAATCTTACTGTATACTCTAATATCTTTTAAATAGAAATTGGCTCTGTCAGACTCTCTATAAACATCCAAAGTGAAAAATAAGTTCTTTGGAATATGCTGTTTCTCTGCATGGAAAAAATCATTTCCTTGTTAAAGATTCATTGCAGATGCCACAGTCTTGGTGAAGCCATGATTTTTCTCAGATACCATTACTCGATCCGTTCTTGGTGTTCCCACAGCCCTTATACACAGCTTTCAGCACAGACCTCACTATATTGTGCATTTTGTCTTTGCAGCCAAACTTTGAATTCATTAAGGTGGAGATGATTACTGGAAGCTTAAGTAATGTATGTATACAGTTAAGATCTTATCATGTATTTCATATATCTATTTCCTGGAGAAGGAAAGCAAAGAATAGTAGAGAAGCAACCTGAACATCCAGAAGATACTTTCATGTTAGATGTGAGCTAATGAAAGGACACCTGGGAATCGAATTCATCTGTGATCGAGTAAGGTACTTGGTTAGCACCTTGACATGCACCTTCCTGTTGGGCTAATTTGACACTCACTATGAGCTGTGAGATAACTGTGATTACATTTCACAGTTAAGGAGACTAAGTGGTTTGCCCATTGCCACACTTGTCTGGTTATAGCAAAGTGCTTACAAAATGTTGAATGAGGTAGGAACAGTGTCTGACTCCAGCCCCTCACCTGCCAAACATACCAACACCAAGCTGTGGTGGTGAACTTCGTAGATGTTTTTCTCATTTTCTTTTAGGGAAATTCTGACCATGAGAGCATGTTTCTGTTTTTTGAAATAGAAACCAGTGGGAAAATATGATTTATTAATAAGAAATTGGCTTTAAGCCAGTGTTGGAATGTTTTCTCTTTGAACTGAGGTATGCATTTATAGGCAACAGTTGTGTTAAGTATCTTTTTTATCCTAATTTCAAAGAGCATCCACTAAATAAAATAGTATGAATCTCCTTGAGACTCTGTCACATGTCTTCACATTTCTACAGCTAATTAGTTTCAGTAGTTAGCTTATTTGAAAGCAGTTGTCATTTCTGTCCAGATGTTTCATAAAAATGATAACTTTGGAAATTGTATCTGATTAAAGGTCAACTTCTTATACAAGCTTCCATTGAGTTGTTAATGTCTTTCTAAATAAGAAGATAATTTCTGCTTTATAGTAGATAATGTCCTTTGTGATTCATTTATACCACATTATAAATGCATAGTGGGTGATGTCCAACTACATGTGGCAGGAGCTATAATTAGCTTGCTGTCTTTGTTACCTCAGATAAGGAAATTTCCTAATTACAAAGAAGGTGCTGAAATTATAGTTATGGTCAGTCACTGTGAGCCTAAGTGGGTTAACTGTCACTTCATTTAAAATAAGCACTTTATTTATCATTTAAATTTGAAGCAGGGATTAAACGATTTTCTGATACAAGTTGAAGGAATTCAGCACCACTAAGCCAGCCCTACAGAATATGTTAAAGCTGTAGATGGAAATGTTCCTAAGGCCAAATAGCTTTCACCAGTGAAAATAAACCCACAGTAAAGGTAGCAGACCAAGTAATTCCAAGCAAGTATGAAATAAAATAAAACAAAAGACGCAAAACAACTACTCACAAAGACAGTCAAGGGATACACAAAAAGGCAGATTATGACATCTAATATAAAAAATGTGGGAGGAGGAGGAAGAAGAAGAAAAGTATCTTTAGATCATGTTTGGAACAGAGTAATCAGCAATTTAAGATAGACTGTTACACAGTAAGGAAGCTGTCCTTGAACATTCGGTAACAACAAAAATAAAGGCCACAATAGGTGAGGGAGAGAGAGATCCATCAAATAACAAGAGCAGAGGATAAGAGAGGGAAAAAGGAACAGAGAGGAGATATAAAACAAGTACTTTACATGTATATAGTATACTAGTTTTTTTTCAGTTGATTCAGCAAATATTTTTTTGAGCATCTATTATGGCTGGGTAGTCTTCTACTCCCTGGAGATTCAAGAGTGAACAATGTTGAAATTAATGTCGAAGAAAGTGAACTCTTCCTTAGAAGATTGATTATCTTTAAAATACTCTTTACTATTACTTGCCACCAAATCTCTTTGGCACCACATCTGCTCTGGGCTCCTGTAAAGAAGACACAGTGGATTTTACTGCATACTTAAGAAAGTGACTGTCATAATTTGACTCACTGCCTCATAAAGTTAATTTAAAATAACCTACAAACTCAGAATTTTGATTATATAGATTAATAATTACATACAAATATGATAATGAAATTTAGAACCTTTCATTTTAAAAGCTTAGACAAAATTTCATATGCAAGTGAAATTACAATCATATTTCATGTTACAACCCCGCCAGTTTATAACAATAAGAGCTAATATTGATTAGGCACTTACTGTGTGCCACACACACTATTCTCTCGTTATGTATTACAACTAACTTAGTACCATACGCTTTGTGGTAGATTCTAGTGTGCCCATTTCACAGATGTGCAAAATAAGGCCAATAGAAATAAAATATCTTGTCCCTGGTCCCAGAGCTTGTAAGTAATGGACATGTATTACAGCTTTGCTATTTGGAATGCAGAGCCCAACACCCTTATTTACTACACTGTATTTGTATGTACTTTAAATATGTGGACATGTAAACATATAACTGTCAAATATACTTAATAATTTACTTTTCTGAATCTGTAGTGTTGTGGACAACACATTGCTTGTTACATTGAAGTAATGTAATCTGTGTGGCATTCTCCCTCATCCCCCGACTATTTGATATAATTGAATTTTTTTTAAAGGAATGTTTTAATAATAAAAGTTCCAGATTCTCTTTCACAAGTCTTTCAGGCATGAATTTCTTACTTCAGCTCCCACAGAGAGGAGGAAGGAAAGGTTAGAAGGGAGAAACAAACACTTGAATTGGGTTTTTGTGAAGACTATCTTTTGAAACCCTTATACTTGAAGTTGCAATGTCTTTTCTGTCTTACTCTGTTACTTATATATGTGTGGGGAACCAGTAATGTTTACACACTAGGTGAACTGACAAGTATATTTTTGGTAGTGTGAGGGCATTTATTTTGAGGGTGAAAATGTCTGATGGCTTGTTCATTTTTTGCTGTGGTCCAGGGGTTGCTTCTATCAATGTAAGAGGTGGGAGGTGTGTGTCTGGCCTGCCCCTGCAGTGGGGCATTCCCAGGGGTGTGCATCGTAATTGGAAATGAGTCACCACTTTGTTTTGCCATTGATTAGACAATGAGCTTTTCTTCTGTGACTGTCAAAAGCTTTTATATCTCTGTTGATCACAGCTTCTTAAAAAATAAAACACAGTAAACTCTTTAAGGCACAAATAAGTTGAATCCTTTGAGGCAACTTATTTATTATCCCTGTTCTATTACCTTATATTTTAAAATTTTGTTCTACAGAGTAAATGTTCTATCATTCTTGTAAAAAAGTGTATCTTGTATTAAAAAAAATTTTCTATTTTACAAATACCACAGGACAAAATCAAACCTAAGTACTGATGGGATAAATTATGTTAGGATACACGAGGAACGGGGCTATGTAATTTTCCTCCTGGTGGGGGCGGCGTATACCTTGTAGAAATGACATGGGCTACCTTGAAGAATTGAGGGAGGCAGATTGGACATATTTTTGTACTGTTGTAAAAATAAATAAATGAACTTCTGGCATTTTACTTTTTTTAGTCCTTTTTGTTTTTTCACAGAGTAGCCCTAAACATAGAGCATCTGTCTGAATGCTTTCATTTTAGAATTTATTTTATATGTGTGTATGTGGGTTATCTAAAGTGAAAAAAATATTAATCACTTTTTTGTATTCTAAAAGAAGATTGGAAAATATTTATATTAAGCTAAGTAATGTTATCTGACATGATGCCCTTTATTTACTGCCCTCATAGAATCCTTAGTGCTTGGAAAGTAAAGATATTATTTCTTTTCCCTCAGAAACGTGCAAAGGGACAAGTGTTATTTGACAGAGTGTGTGAATATCTCAATCTCCTGGAGAAGGACTACTTTGGACTTATGTACCAGGAAAACCCTGAGCAGAAAGTAAGTGAAGTTATTTCAAGTTTATTGATATTTCTTTAGAAAAATACTGTATTTTTTTCTTAGCCAGTATAAAATTTAGCTTCAAAATATCTTATATTTTTATTATGCCATATTTTATGTTCATTGTAGTTATTTGGTAAATATTGAAAACTTATACAGAGAGAATCACCTAGATCTTTTTGCCATTGTGTGTGTCTGCTTCTCCACTTGATAAGCAGAATGGAATGTCTTATCCTATACTAATCATTAGAGACTGAAAAGAACTGATTTAAGCAGTTTTCTATTTAACTTTTAGCTTTTGATTTCACCTTTCTGCTAGAAAGTACGCATGCCTGAAAAGCTGGGAAGGTGATGTATTGGAAAGATCAGGAGTACCCTCATGTACTTGTCTGGAGTTTGGGAGAGAGCATTTGCTTTGCTAAACAGACTGGTGGCTGTATGGGATGAAGGTGTTCCTTGCCCTGCTGTTGGGTTATTGGGGTCAAAAGAAGTGAGACCCAGACTGACTCAGGCTAGATTTGACTGGCCAGGACCCTGTAGATATATGCCTGACATCAGAAGTGTGTTGAGATTGTTCCTGCTCCAGGAATTTCCCAAGACACTAAGCAGGAGTATCAGAATGCTCTAATGTTTAAAGATAATTCCAGGGAACTTCAGGGCTTCTCGGTTCCATACATAAATTAAAGAGAGAAATATTAACCAGTTGGCAGTTTACCCGACTTAACCTGTAGCCTTCTGTCTTAGTTCAGGCATTTCCAACAAAGTTCCACAGACTGAATGGCTTAAACAACAGACATGTATTTCTATTAGTTCTAGAGGCTGGGAAGTCCAAGATCAAGGTGCCAGCAGATTCCATGTCTGATGAGGGCCCACTCCTGGTTCATAGATGGTGGCTTCTCACATGTCCTCATGTGGTGGAAGGGACTAGGAGCTCTCTGTCCCTCATAGGGCACTAATCCCATTCATGAGGGCTCTGTCTTCTGTGGCCTAATCACTTCCCGGAATCCCCACCCTCAAATACTGTCACATTTGCATTATTTTTCAGCATAGGAATTTTGGGGAGCAGGGGAGGATGCAAACATTCAGTCTCTAGCACTTTCCTCATTGTTAAGAAAGGAATTCTCCCCTTCTACTTCCGTTTGTGAGTCCTCGGAGTTAATTGGTTGGAGGAGATACTGAATATGGGAGCAAAGAGTAAAGGTTTGGTCCAGGGTTGTACTGCAAGCTGTTGGATTATGGCTGTGGACAGACTCACTGAGATTATTCTGTCTGAGGATGCTCACAGTACTTGGTCACAGTGAAAGGAGTTAATTTTCAGTATCTAGCATTCACCTCACAGTCAATAGAACAGAGTAGCACTCGGTAGATGAATATAGGCTGTAAATTTTGTTATTGGCCCACATGCCATCATTATTTGTACTTATATGCCCTGGTAATGAAATACAGGGTACTAAGGGTGATAATTATATATAAATTAAATTTTCTCAGCTTGCTTAGTTTTAAATTCTTGATACCTAATTTGTGGTTTCATTATACATTTAAACTAAAGACAATTAAATTACATGCTCGCTTGCTGAATAGTAGTGCGAGTATCTTATTAGAACTCTATTTAGAATACTTTTTTCAGAAGTAATAACAAAGTAGACATTCAACTAAATAAACTAGGACCTCTTTTTAGACTTAAATTATAAGGTGGTCTTGATAATGTTTCAACCATTGACCCTTCTGTTGGCTCTCAGAGTCACAAAACAGAAAGTGGTGGGAATTTGATTATCATTGCTTTTTTCTGTGATTACATATTGGTAGATTCCTAAAAGCATTTAGTCTGTAAAATAAAGGGAAATCACCCATTACGATGTAAAATGTGTCAAATAACATGGTCTGTTAGTAGAAACAGATATGCTACATTAAGACATCTGGTATTTCTGGAATACTAGATTTGCATAAGAGAGTTAGTAGAATTCACTATTTTTTATTTGGATGACTCCCAATATAAATGTCCAATCCATATTTTTCGCCTGAGTCTCAGACTCCTCATATACTTAACTTCCTGCTGACACTACACTCAGTTGTCTCTAAGCAAACTGGTCATCTTCCCTTTAAACTTCCATCTGTCTCCTGAAGAGGGGTATAGATTCCTTCCACTTCTTATGCCCACTTTTTCATTGCTTATTAGTCAACAAGGTCTGTTTTTTCTACCTGCATATATCCCTCTCCTGGTTCTCTCTGTCCACTGTTCTTTGGTTTAGACCCCATCCTCTCTTGTTTTGACTCTTTTGTTAGCCTCCTAAACTGCCCAGTCCCAGGCCCTTCTGATCATTCTTCACACTGTGATAGATTGAGCTATCAGGAGAGTGTATGAGATCTTCGCCCTTCCTGGTTTAAAACCATTTAATAGATACAATCTCACCCTCTTGGTGTGGTTTATAGGACTCTTGGTCATATGACTTCAGTCTATTTCTTTATCTTCATTTTTCAGTGACCTCTCATATACTGCCTATATTCAGTCCACACCAGATTTCTCTGCTATAAAAGAAGCCTTGTTGGTCTGTATCTATTACATCTGCTTGAATACACTATTCCTTACATTTGGATTGTCCTTCCCATTTTTTCTTTTTTTTTTCCTGAATACCTACCTTTCCTAAGATCCAACTTAGGTTTGGATTTTCCTTAATCACTTTCTACCACCGTCCTCCCTGCCCCCACTCAAGGAGGGTTGACAGTTGTCTTCATCAGCTATCTAGACACATAGCACAAACCTTATTTGTGTGTCAGTCTTTTTCCCCATTATTCTAGGAACTTCTTGAGGATAGAGACTCTTATCTTTTTAATCTGTGTAGACTCTGTATCTCTAGACATTAGCAAATATTTATTAAATACTATCTGTGTGCATCTCACACCCATTAGGATGGCCACCATCAAGAAAACAAAAAATGACAAGTTTTGGTGAAGAAATTATACCCCTTGTGCACTGGTGGTGGGAATGTAGAATGGTGCAGCTGCTCTGGAAATCAGTATGGAGGTTACTGAAAAAACTTTAAGTGGACTTGCCATGATCCAGAAATCCCATATCCAAAATAATTTAAGGCTTTTGAAGAGATATTTGTACACCCATGTTCACTGCAGCATTCTTCAGAATAGCCAAGAGGTGGAAGCAACTCAAATGTCCACTGATGGATGAATTGGATAAACAAAATGTGGTGTGTGGAATACTACTGAGCCTTAAAAAGAAGGAAATCCTGTCACATGTTATAACATGGATGAACCTAGAGAATATTAAGTGATATAAGCCAGTCACGAGAAAACTAGTATAGTATGATTGCACCTATATGAGGTATCTATAGTCAAACTCAAGGAAATAGAAAGTAGAATGGTGGTTGCCAGGAACTGGAGAGAAGGGAAAATGGGGATTCATTCGATGGGTATAGAGTTCCAGGTTTGCAAGATGAAAAAGTTCTAGAATCTGTTGCACAATACGCATATAGTTAGTATGGCTGAACTGTACACTAAAAAATGGTTAAGGCAGTAAATTTTGTGTTTTGTGTTTTTTACCACAATTAAAAAAAATTCTACCTGTGTGGAAACCAGTGTACTGTTAATCTTGCAGTAAACAAGTTTCTCTACACTGTGGGATATAATATAATATTATATCCCCTACATTGGGGATATAATAAAGACCCTGCCTTCACGGATGTCCCCACTTAACATTCTGTCTGAAGAGACAGTAAAAAGTTGAAATTAGAGTTACTGAAGTTTGATTCCTGCTTTATGGGAAAGATTCAGGGTACTAATGGGGAAGATTTCTTAGGAGAGAATGATGCTATTGCAGAAACCTAAAGTGTGAGTGGCTTTTGGCTGGGTGAGGGTATATATAGGGCTCTGAGGCAGGAATAGGAGGCTGCTTGAAAATTGTCAAGTGTGGTCAGAAGGGGAAGGATGACATTAGGCTAGGAGAAGAGGGTAGAGGTCAGGTCATTCAGGGTCATCTAGGCTAAATATTAAGGCTTGGGAGATTTACTTACTCCCAAGAAAAATGGTAACTCATGGATGGGCTGAAGCAGTGATGTGTGATAGCCAGTTTTACTTTAAAGTTGTCACTTTTGTTGGTAGAGAAACTGGAATGAGAGGAACTTGAACAGGACAGATCACCCAAAGCACAAAAGCGGCCTCAATTGAGGTTACAGTAGTGAAAGTAGACAAGCAAACAATCTAAGAAAGGTTCAGAAAGGAGGGAGACTCAATATGATGATTGACTGGGTGTAAGGGATGACACACACCAGGACTAAGGCCTGGGCTTCTGGATGGGTGGAGGTGCCATTCAGTGAGGAAGGTGGGGAGGGCCCATCTGGGGCATGGCAGGGCATATCAGGACTTTAGTTTCAGACATGCTGAAATGTAGGTCAGACAACAACTTTTGGAAGGACAAGTAAATCAATAAGTGAATTTTTGATATGCTTTAAAGAATGGCAGCTAGTATTGAACAAATACTCCAGGGGGAATCTACCTCAACAGTGCAAAGTGTAGTGGGGTGGTTTCATTTCCTGATGGGATCATCGTATTTATCATTGAGGCCTGTAGTCAGGCATGCTTATTTTAACTTACTTCTTTTTAGAAGAATCTGAGGTGGCTTTTATCATTAAAATATTACAAATAAAATAGGCATGACTATTAACAAATCATTCTGGAATTCTTACAATGCAAGAGGCAGCATTCTAAGCACTTTACATGTGTTATCATATAGTTCTGAGAATGGCCCTAAAAGGTATTATCAACCAAACTTGAGAGATGCAGAAAGTTGAGATTTTGAGAAGTTAAAAAATACACCGAAGGTCACTTATGGAAAAAAGGCTGAAGTTGAAGGTAAGGTTCAAAACCAGGCAAAGGAGGAGGAAAAGAAAATGCAACAATTCTAAATTTCCTGTCAGTTAAGGTAAAAATGGGTATACTATTTTATAGCTGTCATAACTAGAAAACTAGAAGAATGTCATCTCTTAGAGGAA